ATATGTGCGTAACGGAAGAAAGAACCCCTGGGCAAAACTAATTGTTACAGGGAGGTGGCTTTGACTACTTGAGCCTTATGCCGAAATTACAAACCAACGTAAGCATCAAGTGTCCAAACGTTGTCCCGTTTACAAGGGGCAGTAGTCTATGACTTATTAATAAGCAACACTCTCCGTTCATCTATCTATCTATCTATCTATCTATCTATCTATCTATCTATCTATCTATCTATCTATCTATCTATCTATCTATCTATCTATTTATCAATCTATCTAGCTGTGATCCTTTTGATGCTTTGTGTTCCATACTTCGCTAGTAGTATAATATGGCCATAGTTTTCATCGGCAATTTTTTTTTCATTCGTGTGTTAGATACTTTGAACTATCCCATTTCTGTGAAGGAAAACATTATTTTCGTTACCTTTGTATGCAAGAAAACAACATTGGTCTGTTTCCTCAGTATAGTGCTGGTAGTTTGTAACATCGAGATTATTATAATGCATGTTCGTCGCATTCGTTTATTAAATCGGGGATAATGGATCACTGGGATTCATTTCTTTTTTTTTTTAAAAATCTGTAGTGGGGTTTTTTTTTATTACCTATCTTGAAATTCAAGAGGAGGCCATTCACAATGTATGGATATACGGTTGTTCACTCTAATGTCTCTAATGTCATATCAACAGCCATTTGCCAAGATGTACATGCAGAATGCCTGTAGCGGAGACAACGAGGGGTATTTTTTTCAGTAAAGAGATGCGCTGCGACATAATTAAGGTCATTGGGACCCGAGGAGAAACAAAAACAACCCAGATTCATGCAGACAAAAACAGCAGACAGATCACAATTAGGTAAGACCTTCTAGTACTTCCTGCTCTGACAAATCAATTTTGGATGGCATGTAGCAGTATTCTTAGCATAAAATGCAATACACTTTCGGCGTCACTAGTCATAACAAAATATTGTCTCTTTTTCTACCGTAATGATATCTATGTCAGTTCCTCTATTTCACCACAGAAAACATGGCTTTTGTGAATTACAGATAATTGGCGTAAACACGAGAAGCCTCTGTTAAAGTTTGATTACCGGTACGTCATCTGCAAAACAATGTGAACAAACAGTAGGCCTACAGACCGTGCACATCTTTGCATTATGCTTCATTCGAAGCAATTTTCAGAATCATGTTGTCACGCCTAGCTGGATTATGGCCAGGCCTGACAAAATAAGAGGGAAAATTGGTTAAAATCGAGTAATTCCATGATGATTGTTCGATTCGTTGGTACATAATAGACGAGTGACGCTTTTGAACAACTTTATGATTTAAGTATACTCCATTATGTGTGTGAAAAGATAGAACACGAAAACTGAGGTCAGGTGAACGAAAGAAAATAATTAAAATCGCTTTAAAAAAAAAAAGTAAAAGTTGTGTTCTTATAGTTACCTCAGTACGAATGTACTATATTCCATTGTGAGATTTGCTGCGTCGGTGGCATAGTGGTTAGGTTACCGGACTCGTAACCGTGAGGTTGCGGGTTCAGGGATTCGAGCCCCGGGCCCCACGTTGTGTCCTTGGGAAAGGCACTTTACCCGAATATTCCCCAGGTGAGAATGGGTACCCAGCTATAGAATGTGAAAGATCTTGTCAATTTGTTAGCGTTTGAGCGCTTAAACAGCTGCTTGCACTGGTTAAGAATGTTTCTGAGTATTCTATGTCTGCTGGGGTAATAATATTATAGTGAAAAGCGCACAAAGCTTGCTTTCGAGTCGGGACATGCGCTATACAAATGCTATTTATTATTATTACTATTATTACGACATACTAAACAATAATGTCCATAGAAATTCAGTCCAACTCAGCAGAAACTTTTCATTGCATGGGTTTTATATGATAAATTATTATGCTAAAAGGCGAGATACGTGTCCTTTTTTTCTACATTTGCACTATCTGCGTCAGGGCTCAGGGTGATATTTCTTTCGAGACAGTACATGCATTGACTCAAAAGTTGTTGTTTTTTTAGTACCTACCCTACATACCTCGCTAAAGTCATTGTATAGTAGCTTTTATCACAGGACGCATAGAATTCAGCTTTTACAAAACATACATTTTAAATGCGTGACTCTATCGTTTTGGTCACAAGTCGTCAGACTCCCTTTTTTGTTTTCTACTTACAGGATGAGCAGAAAATGTTGAATGCCTCTGATGAAACTATAGACTTTGAGATGACGTGTGGTGCTCTGAAGAAAACCAACGATAAGCCACATCGATCTAAAGTAAGGTACAAGTAAGGAAACAAAGAATCGGTTTCTGGCCACAGATATATAAAAAGAATAGTTCGAAATGCAAATCAGGATATTTTAAAAAAAAGTCTTTTTAGAAGGGGGCTCATTTTTCAAAACCTAAACAATTTCCAACACAATGTTCTACGAGAAAATTATCTATAAATATTATAATCATTTTGATACTTTCATATCCTCATCCTGTCCTCGAGTTTGGCAACATTACGTAATACGTTCGCTCATCAACAAACCCTCGCACTCTCCATGGAACAGAAATTAAAAGACCAAGAGCATCATATGTGAAGCGTGCTGACAAAATGAGTTACTTCTCGGCTTCAAGCCTGATGGAAATAGATACATCACACTTATAGGTGAAGTTTTGTAAGAATGAAATAAAAGAAGGAATGTTATAGTTTTAAAAAATGGCATCAGTAGAAAATGTACAAATTTGACATTAGTGTCAATTTTTGGCCAATTTATCGATTTATGGATTGCGAGAAATAACTCATTTTGTCCCCACACCCAACATATAATGTCTTTGGAAAGGTAACAGACTGGACAGGGGAAAGAAAAAGGGAAAACAAGAAGTCAGGATCACACGTAGTAAGTATTTTAAATGTTTGTTTGTTTGTAGGGTTTTTTCCTTTCGTAATGGAAAAGGCCAAATCAAATAGTATATCTCTGAAAATCTTCAAAACGTGCAGATTCAGAAAATATCCCGATCTTGTACAATAATTTTTCCGCCGACAAATCAACGGTTTCCTTTGCAGTTGCACGCCATATTCAGATTTCCACTTTTACTTCCTTTAGATCTACTTTTAATGACACGATTCGCCTGTTAGCCTCATTATAATATATTATCATGACGTGACATGAAGTCGTTCTTTTCCTTGGCCCTACCTACACAAACGCTATGAATTTATCATTCATGGTTTCGCGAAATGAAATAGGGCACCAAAAAAGTCAGGGGATGAAAGTAGAGATGATTGTCTGTGAGGACAATAATTTTTCACAAAGACACCGATTTTACCATTAAAGGAAACCGCCCACCCTTTGAACGCACAGTTCTCTGACTCACTTTTTTTTCAACTTTTTTTTTCTTTTTTCGGGCTATCGGTTAAAAACTCCAATAGTGATCCACTGTTCTGTGCCTTATGAGACGTTGACATCCTACTCTTCTGATGCCATGCGAACATACCCGATTTTCGTGCATTCTGTTGAGTTCTCTTTGCTCTATTAATTAAATTAATGAGTAATTAATATCGCTGTCTATATCCAATTTAATAAAAGTAATAAAAGTATGAATAATTGTTCTTTCTTGATGAACGGTGTGAATGTGTTATCATAAGATTAATTTGCAAGGTATGGTGTGAACGTAAGGCAACATTTTACACGGACAAGTTATTTAAAGAAGTTTGAACTTCGTCCACCGTCCTCCTGTCATCAGCCTTTTAAAAAACCTGAGACGCCTCTGGAGAAGTTTGAACCAGCTCATCATATCATGTTCGAGGATCATCATCATCATCATCATCATCATCATCATCATCATCATCATCATCATCATCAACATCATCAACATCATCATCATCATCAACATCATCATCATCATCGCTATCACCGTTGTTGTCGTTGCCAGGGCACATCCGAAATCAATGGAATGGGGCCTTCCAGCAAAAAGGCAAAAAGAAAGAGTTATATGGGAAAAAACCAACTTCCTCCATAATAATAATCAATATCAAGCCGTCCGTGTGTAAGGCATAGAGTAAGCTATTTCACCACTGAGCCGAAGAGCATTTACTGGCCTACAAGTGGGAGTAAAAGAAGAAGAAGGGAAAAGATGTGGGGATAATGCATTTAAGCAATCGCGTATGCAATCAATAGCATCTTCATACCAACATTAACATACCAGTGCCAAACATGGTCTCTAAACAAGACACAAGAAAGAAACATCAATGCATGCAAAATGAGGTGTCTCCGCGAAACCATCAACGTCACCAGAAGAGACCGCATAAGAAGCGAAACCATTCGTATACAAACTGGAACACACCAGTAAGAAAATTCATAGAGGGTCAAAAAGTTAAATAGTTTGAACATCTAACCAAAATATCCTGGAAACAACTACAGGCTCGAGCTTACAAAACCCGAGAATCTGGCTTCAAATCAAGAGGAAGACCAAGAAATACCTGGCCAGATGGGGTTTAAAAGGTCCTAGAACCAGTCATTGCCTGGAACAACATAACATAAATATATTTCTATCACAGACGCTACACACCAAGCACTTCCCCTCGACATCCTAAGGATACCAGAGGAAGGAAATAGTACAAAGGTAAAGTAAAAGTAAGTGTATGTCATCCCTCTATAGAAGGCGGTTGTATCTGCAGCGCGGGTGTAGATGGTGCATTTGTTATATAAAACACAACACTGCAAGGAGAAAGGACAATGTGGAAGAAGACAGAGATACATGGTTGAAACTTTAAAAGATATTTTTTCATAAACGACTGAAGGGACGACACCGTGGAATAATCAATGCCATAATGCTGATATTTCTTCGCTGCTACATCATTATCTTTTTTTACCAACAGTGCAGTAAAAACGAGTTACTTTCATTTTCTTTTGCAATTTTCTAAACGATACAGTCAAAAGGAAAGACCATTTTTTATGTATAATTAAAGATTTTTGTCTTCAAAGACTTTCCTTAAATCAAAGTCAACACTTGAAAAATTGACGGAAGTTGCATTTGGTTTATTTAGAATTTAGAATATCTGGTCATATCCTTGAAAGTCAATGGCGAGTGTTGCAGCCTTTTAGCGTCTACCCCAACGGTACTTCACTCCGACGTGGAATCCTGATTCCTGGGAATATCCTGCTCCGCCTTCCCAGTGTCCATCTGAAAAAAAAAAGATAAGCAGAACAGGTTTGATTTTCCTTCTATTTCAACACAATGACACGGTGATAAGAAACATTTTCATTGTGTGGAGACAACACAAGGTAAGAGGAAACTGGGTCTCCAATCGCTCTCCGTGAGAGTCGGGAGATGTTATAGGGCCTAGCTCGTTCACTTTCATCCCACCGCGGTTAAAACGGAATAGAAACAAATCGCTCTGTTTAATCTCTGTGTCTTTGCGTACGGTTCTGAAAGTTCAGCGACCAACAGAATCTAAAAGCTTATTCATAAATGCCACTGCAATCTAAGGTTCCGACACGTTTTTATTCGATGTAAGCCTAGAACAGTTCAAAAAAAATAATAATAGGGGACTTATAGCATATACCTAGGACATTTAAAAGTCGACATATTTTCCTCGACACCACTTTTTAACGATCGCCCAAGAAACACGACTCAAGAGACGGGGTGAGTATTTAGAGACTCAAGTGGAGCACGCGAAGAAGTCTAGACAGCCGGGGGATGAAATCTATAAGCTTACACTGAAATGTGGGGGCAGGGCGGCGTCGTGGTCACAATTTGTAGGCAAGACTACTGTTATGTCATTTTTTAGTGATCCTGTGTACGCATCCAAAGAGCAGATTTTAATATAGGGCCCAAAGAGAAACACTTTTTTTATTACCGGGTCAAAACTCTTTGAAAAAAATTTTCTTTTGTTTGGTCGGTGGCCTGCAGAAGTGCGATGCAAAGTTTTGTGGGTATGTGTAAATTCCTCAATGAGCTATGATTTTTTAAGCGGTCGGATGAAAGTGAACAAACTATAGCACACTGCTCAAGTAAACCAAAAAATAACCATCAATTCTCAGTCATACATGTGGAGTATTTACATGTGTCCATGTGCAGTATTACAACGTGTGCCTTTCATTTACTCTATGTGTGTATGTGTGTGCGTGTATATATATATA